CTTATTTTCACGTTTGATGAATTTTTTTAGATTTTTTGAACTTTTTCTCAAAACTGATGAACTTTATTAAAAATCCGATGAACTTTTTTCAAATCGATGAACTTTTTTTTCAAATTAGATGAACTCTTTTATTCAAATCGATAAACTACTTTCAATGTACAATGAACTTTTTTTTGAAAATCGATGAACTTCTTTTGAGTTTGTGAACTTTATTTTGATTACATGACCTCTTTCGATTTTGGTGAACTATTTTTTGAATACGCGAACTTCTTTTGCATGATCATGAACTTCATTTGTAATATCTGCATATGTTTTCAAACAATTGGAAAATCTAAACTCTACAGTGTAATGTGAAATTAATAGTGCCTCTACCTTTCTATTCTTAAAAGTGTTCGCGCTGCAAAGAATCCTGAACCCAACAGAAAATGAAGCATGACCCCATTCAAGCTGCCAAGCCCACGTGAATGGACCAGTAAAAGGCCCAAAAGCCCAGGTACAAATTGTCTCTGGTGCCCACTACCATGCCTGTTGGTCCGAAATCACTAGTTAAGGAGTACTCATTGCAAAATCACTCTCATCTCCGCGGGTTGCAACAAGTGGTGCGCTGCATGTGCGCCACTTGTTGCAACCCGGGCGTTTTCCCCTTTTTCGTAGATTTGTTTATTCTAGAGAGGCACGGCCGTTACTCTCGCGAAAACACAACTGTGCCTCTCTCGAAAGCAAAATCGTGCCTCTCGCGAAAAAAAACATAAAACACATTTTTTCCCATTTCCGAGAGGCATGGGCGTGACTCTCGCGGAAAAAAAACGCGTCGCGCAAAAGAAAATTTCAAAAAAAAAATTTGGGTCCAAAAGTTCAGGAAGACCAGTGGAAAACCAAAACGTCGAAAAAAATCAGAAAAAATCATTTAAAAAGCCGAAAACATGTGCAGAAAATAAAAATAAAAAACAAAACCTAAAGGGAGCGTCCGGAGCGCGACATGTGGCGGGGCGGTTGAGAGCGCGACAAGTGGTGTTGATCGTTGCGAGGCTCCCGAAGGAGCGCTCGTTAACTAGTTGCTCTCCTATTCGTCACTTGATCAATAATTTGGTTTATTATCCATCTATGGCCTGTATGATGATGGCAGCCGCCGGCCTCTTTGGTTCCCCAGCGGCAAGTGTTCAATTGCAGATGTACCGCGGCAAGCATATAACTGCAGTTCAATTTCGAGGTAGTAATATCACATCGACACATCTTCCCCTCTTGTGCATGTTCTATCTGGTCCAATACGGTAATTTTTGCCCTAGTTTTCTAATTGTTTTTTCTATGGACCTTGGCTGATCTAGGCTTTGGAACGGTATTTTGATGTGGGCTCGCTGAGGTCACCCGTTAGACATAAAATATATCAATTACCGCAGCAAAGTAATCTTCTGAAGTCTTCCATTCAGAGAGAAATTAATTTAGATGAATTGCCTCATGATGGTACTGATCATAAGCGAATTTGAGAGTATACACAAAATCCTAAGAAGCAAGTTGATATTTTAACAAGGGGATTTTACAGGCAACCATCTAAATTTGTTTATCCACATAGGGACATTGAAGGTATTTACATTAATAATGAGCGAGCAAATGAAAGGTTTGCCAATTTGGATGAGATTGCTGATCTTGCTAAGTTAATGGTCCAGATAAATAAGCATGTTACTTTTCCTTTGGTCTATCAATTCTAAAGCTAGTATTAGTATATATTGGCAGTAGCCACAACATCCGTGAAGAGACACTTTCAGTTTTGAATGTTGTCAATGAAAAGATGAATAATAAAATGGGTGATCAGTTCACGAGTAATTGTCTAATTATCTATGTGCTAAAAGGTCATGTCTTCTACCATTATAACGGTGATATGTTTGAATGAAGGATCAAAAAGGGATGTCCCGAAATGTGAGTGAGTTTACATGATTCTTTTGCATGATGACACTTTTATTTTAAACTTGTCAGACTAACTTATTATTTCTTGATTTTTACATAAAGTAGAGCGAAACACTTTTTCGAGGAACTAATTTGTTATTTTCTTTAATGTTCTTAGGAAGAAGAGAAGTTCTATTTGAAGCCAAGAAGTTATTTCAGTATTACCCATGTGATTTTGTAATTTCATCCAATCAGTATGTCTCACACTCTTAAATTTTAATGTAACAAGTACTTGTGATAAGGGATATCATATTCCTATTCATCATGGTTTCTCTGATTGTTATAATATTGTTGTAATATGGCGTAAAATTGGACTTAGTTCATACCAAGTTTTCACAACTAGTCAATGAGTGAACCCAATGACTAATTTTTCTGGCTCCGCCAGGTGTCCACACTTGCGGTGATCACCAGGTCATGCCATCCCGTGACCAGATCAATGTTAGCACTAATCTAGACTTGCAATTGTTTTTAGAGTGTTTGTTTGTTTTAGTATGAGACTGCACTACTGATAGGCTGTTGGTCACGTTGAGGTTGTACCTGCATGGGCGTCTTTAGGACCCTAGCGAGATTAGAGGAGAAGATAAGACCATGGGTTGTTAGGGCATCTCCAGCCGCGCCCCCAGGAAGGCCTTCCCAGGCGATTTTTTTCGCGCCGGCGCCGAAAAAACGGCCCAGTCGCGCCCTCAGGAGCCCGATTTTCGCCGGCTTGGGCCGAAAACAGTGCCGGCGGACCCAGGCCGAACCCGGCGCGCTGGGGGGCGCCCGGGGGCGCCGGGGCGAGCTGTTTTAGCGCGAAAAAGACGCGGGCCAGCCGCGTCAGCGACTCGGCGCCTCGTCTTCCCTCAACGGCCTTGGTTCCCGCGGGGAATCAATGGCAAGGCCGCCGGTCAGCCTTGCCATTGATTCCTCACGGGCGACGCGTTCACGGGACGGCGCGCTGACGCCTCCACTCCCTCGCACGCGTACACACGGGCGCGGCCCGGCTATAAAAGCCGGCGGCCTCCACTCACCTGCGCCCACACCAGCCCCGCCCCTCGCCGCCGTCCAGCCCTTCCTCTCCCTACCTCTCCCCGAGCGCCGCCGCCCAGCCCCTCCCTCTACCTCTCCCGAGCCCGCCCAGCCCCGCCTTCGCCATGGCAGAACGCTTCCCCGGAGATACAGCGGCGGCCAACGGCTTCGGCCGTCGTTCGCTCCGCGAACAGGAGTCCTGGCTCCTGTTCCAGGCGAACATCCCGGCGCCGCCAGACATGCGCGCCGAGCCGACGGGGTGGAGACTCAGCGCCGGGGGAGTGCCCATTCCCCCGTTGCCCGACGCCGTGGCGAAGCCGAGGTACTTTGCCGAGGAGGTCGAGATCGTGCGCGCGTCCCTCACCGACGCCGAGCTCTCCCTCCCCAGTACGCCGCCGACAACCACGCGACCTAGGCAGCGTATTTCAAGCGCCGCCAACAGCAGCGCTTGGCGTCCACCAACGGCGCGCCGGTGGTCGGCGGCCGGCAGAACAGCGAGGGACGCCTCCTCTGGTGGGGCGTCCCCGGCCGCACACTCGAGGGCGTGCTCACGTACCTCGAGGGCGGCAACGACCCGCTGTTGGCATACCCCCCGGCGAGGGTGGCCGCCCCGGCGCAGCACCGACGCGCCGGGCCATGGGCTCCAAGGAGGTTCGGCGCCTCCTCTTCTTCCTCCTCATCCCGTTCTTCTTCACACTCCTCCGGCTCTCCGGCGCTGCTCGGCGTCAAGGCCGAGCCCGCGGCGGAGACGCCGCTCGGCCGGCGCACTCGCAGTGCCGGCATTGTCATCAACGAGGGCGGCCGGCGCGCCCCCTCGTCGGCTCCTCCGCGCTTCGTCAAGCCAAAGACGGAGCCGGGGCTGGCGCCGGTGAAGACGGAGCCGGGGCTGGCGCCGGTGAAGGCCGAGTTCGACGACGACGACGACGCCGCCCTCGAACGGGCGCGCCAGGACTCCATTGCGATGGAGAAGGCGCGCCGCGAGAAGGAGAAGGAGCGCCAGCGCGCCGCCCTACGCCGCTTCGAGGAGCGCCGACGCGGCCGCGAGGAAGGCGGGGTCGTCGTCTTGTGCGACAGCGACGACGACGACTACGCGCCGCCGCCTGTTCGCCATGGCGACGCCGGGGAGGGGTCCAGCAGGGGCGCCCGCGTCAAGGAGGAGAAGGCCACCGACGACGATGGCGGCAACGGCGGCGACGACTTCAGCCCTTTTCTTTTTTTTAGATTAGGTTCATGTAATGTTTGACCGAATTTCGTCGAAATTTGTATTGTTTGGCCGAAATTTAACTAGTTTTTATCATAACTTCGCCGAACGGTTCTGTTTTTTTTAAGATACGCGTCTGGGGGCCGACGGCTGGGGACCGACTCGCCTCCAGTGCCATTTTTTTCGCCGGCTTACCTCCAGGCGGCGCTTTTAGACGCCCCCTGGGGGGCCAACGGCTGGAGATGCCCTTAGTGGCCGGCTGTGGCCTGTCTTAGTGCATGGGTAGGATGCTGTTATTGGCCGAGTGTGCGGCGGCTGGCCCATGTGTGTGCACGGCATTCACTTGTTTCCCTCTGTTGGTATGTGAGCTGTGAGAGGCCGCTTGAGGAAGAAGAAGCTGCTCCAACAATCAAGGCTGCGCCTATTCACCTAACGAACTAACAGAGAAATCAGCTCGAAAAAAGTCATGTACAGGGTTTTCTCCTCTTTAGAAAAAACACGAGTTATGTCAGCAGCAGCAAGTTCAGTCGAGAAAGGAAGTGTCTAAGCCGAGCCTACTTTTCGTGCCATCCCACGATGCTCGACGTGAGCTAGGTGTGCCCACTTGCAGCGATCACCATGGCATGCCATCCCGACTAGATCAAGGCTGCACCTATTCAGCTAACTAACTAACAGGAGAAATAAGCTCAACCAAGCCATGTCCTGGCCGTTTTTTTTTGCTAACTGAAAAACGCTGACTGAAAGGAGAGAATAACACTTATAACAGTAGCAGGGTTTAAGCAAGTTCAGTCTCGCGGTTTTTCTTTTCTTTTTGTATAGGAGCTATAGTAGTAGAGAAAGGAAGTGTCACCTTGGGTTGGATAAAAAAGGACGACCCTCTCCTCCTCCTCCTCAATAACTCCATGATCCAGCATCTTGTTGCGGGACTCGCTGCACTTTGGGCAGGGCTCGGAGCCGACCCTCTTACAGGCTTGGCAGACGAAGGCGCGGCTCGGCCTTGGGGCGGCGTTGAGGAGAGGCCGCAGCCCACCGGCCTGGTGCAGCTGCCTGACATCGTCAGGGCCACCGACGAGCCGGCCGCCCACGAGGAGCTGCGGGAGGGAGAAGGCGCAGCCCCGAGCCGCGAGCAACGACTTGAGATCGCTGCGGTGCGCTTTGCTCCTGGACACGTCGCGCACGTCCACGGCCAGGCCGTAGCCGCGCAGCAGGGCGCACACGGCGTAGCGGTCGGCGGAGGTGCGCCCTCTGCGGCGCGATGCTGAAGCTGACGCCGTGTAGAGAAATACCTCCGGCTGCAGCTCCTCCTTGCCGTGCGGATGCGGCCGGGACGAGGAGCTGTCGCCAGGATCATACATGTCCGGCGGCCTCCTCACCGAAGAGAGGGCTGTGGCGAGATGAGAGCCGTAGCAGATTGAGACGGGGACAAGTGATACATCCACTTTGCATTGACGCGAAACATACCCTTTTAGTTTTGGGAGTATCTAGAACTCATCTAGATGAGACGTAATTTGGTCTCATTCACCTGGAAAATAAGAAAGGATACAACCCACGTCAGCACACACACATCTTATAGCACCACATCCAATGGCTATAAAAAATGAATGAGATCAAATTAAATCTCATCTAGATGAGTTCTAGCAAAACTGTTTAGTTTTACCGTCATATGGACGGACCCATAAGTTTTTCACACAAAAACCCAAACAGCAGTTTCACAAATTCAAAGCTTCGTGCTCCACAGCAACCGGCCGGCCACCAGCGAAGGCTTCTCCAACGGCAACTCGTAAATTTTCTCTCACATTCATTTATGGACTGGTCTTTCCGTCCATAGATACGGGAGGCCGTCATTCAACCATAGCCGTGTATATTTCAACCGCATTTAAACCAACCGGACAAATTTCATGCAAAATGACGGATTTCATTAAAATTCGGAGATAATTTACATAAACTAATCGATATTTCAACCGTTTAACTATAAAACAAACAAAAACATAACCCTATAATGGACTACTACCTCGTACGCGTGACCGCCCTGCCCTGCCGCACCAACGTCGCCGTCCGTCATTGTCGTTATCGTCCCTCTAGCGCCGGTACGTCGCCAGAGGGCCGCGACATCCTTGTCCGGCAGCTGCTTGCCGCTCGCGTGGGAGCCTCTCTGCCTCCTGCTACGCTATGCGGAGGGCCGCTGCGACCACTGTCGACGTGGCCTTCGAAGCCCTGGTGGCGGCCTTGCCGCGACCGACGTTCGCGGAGTAGTCGCTAAGTGACCACGCCTCGCCGATCTTGGCAAGCTCGCCGTCAAGGCGGCGACGGCGCCAGGCGGCCGTCTCCAATGTGGTCACGGAGCGGTCGAGCGCCCACGCGACGGTGAGGTCCAGGTCATTACGGACCCAATTGGGCGCCACATCGCTCTTGGCGAACGCGAAGAGGCCTCAGACACCATGGTCCGATAGCCGGAGGCGCCGAAGGCGCTGGCGTAACCGCCTCCTCCGGGGTAGTGGAGGATGCGGCCCCATGATGTCTACTACGCAACCTTCTTCTTGTAGACGTTGTTGGGCCTCCAAGTGCATAGGTTTGTAGGACAGTAGCAATTTCCCCTCAAGTGGATGATCTAAGGTTTATCAATCCGTGAGAGGCATAGGATGAAGATGGTCTCTCTCAAGCAACCCTGCAACCAAATAACAAAGAGTCTCTTGTGTCCCCAACACACCCAATACAATGGTAAATTGTATATGTGCACTAGTTCGGCGAAGAGATGGTGATACAAGTGCAATATGGATAGTAAATATAGGTTTTTGTAATCTAAAATTATAAAAACAGCAAGGTAAATAATAATAAAGTGAGTAAGAACGGTACTGCAATGCGTAAAAACAAGGCCTAGGGTTCATACTTTCACTAGTGGAACTTCTCTCAATAATGATAACATAATTGGATCATATAACAGTCCCTTAAAGTGCAACAAAGAGTCACTCGAAAGTCACTAATAGCGGAGAAAAAACGAAGAGATTATTGTAGGGTACGAAACCACCTCAAAATTATTCTTTCTGATCGATCTATTCAAGAGTCCGTAGTAAAATAACATGAAGCTATTCTTTCCTTTTGATCTATCCTAGAGTTCGTACTAGAATAACACCTTAAGACACACATCAACCAAAACCCTAATGTCACCTAGATACACCATTGTCACCACAAGTATCCGTGGGCTTGATTATACGATATGCATCACACAATCTCATAATCATCTATTCAATCCAACACATAGAACTTCAAAGATTACCCCAAAGTTTCTACCGAAGAGTAAAGTATAAAACTTGTGCCAACCCCTATGCATAGGTTCCTGAGGTCACGAAACCCGCAAGTTGATCACCAAAACATACATCAAGTACTCACATGAATATCCCATTGTCACCACAGATAGACACGTGCAAGATATACATCAAGTGTTCTCAATTCCTTAAAGACCTAATCCGAGAAGATAACTTCAAAGGGAAAACTCAATTCATTACAAGAAAGGAGAGGGGGAAGAACATCATAAGATCCAACTATAGTAGCAAAGCCCGTGATACATCAAGATCAAGACATCTCAAGAACACGAGAGAGAGATAGATAGAGATAGAGATAGAGAGAGAGAGAGAGATCAAACACATAGCTACTGGTACATACCCTCAGCCCCGAGGGTGAACTACTCCCTCCTCGTCATGGAGATCGCCAGGATGATGAAGAAGGCAACCGGAGATGGGTTCCCCCTCCGGCAGGGTGCCGGAACGGGCTCCCGATTGGTTTTGGTGGCTACAGAGGCTTGTGGCGGCGGAACTCCCGATCTAGGTTTCTTTTTGGGGGTTTCTGTATTTGTACGAATTTATGGTGGTGGAATTACGTCAGTTGGGCCCACGAGGAGGTCA